TTGCTTTATATCCAGCGTGGTCTTCAAGGTCAACTTTGTTTATAGAGTGAGTGGGAGGTGTATGAGGGTGTGTGCGAAAATGAGTCTGCACAAACTGGAACTCATATATGTCATTAGGAAGTTTATTTCATGTCTGCAGCACACATGTTTTCCACAGTGGGGACGTGCCACTGAAGTAGCAGCCACTTAAAGGCAAATCCTGACTTTTTCCTCATTCTGACCAAATTGTTTTTAGTGCCTAAACCTGACCAGGAAAAACATTCTGTATTGATAATAAATTTAAAAACATACATTATCAGTTTATGTGTATCTGTAAACTTGGGTCTCTGGTGAGAGTTGGGAAATTATACCCTCCACCATAAATCCCCTGTCAACCTCCAAATATTTCACCTTTTAACAGAAGGAAATATTTATTGTCTATAAGCATGTAAGAGGTGAAATATCAAGTTTATGGATACAAAAATAATGGGAAGGTGTGAGTCAAGAAACACAAATCAAAAATGTAGAGGTTGTAAGCGCTTTGCTTTTATCTACAACCGACCCCATTCACTGCTCCTAACAACCGATGGGTGAGTTTGCACTTCAGTGGTATCATGTGTCCAGATTTCTGGCTAAGGTACAAATTTGACCTTTGAAAAAACAGATAACACCAGCATTGGCACGCAAGGGTTTGAAACAAGAAAAAGGTTTGATCAACTCTTGCCCCTTTGCGTTGTTTTTAAGGTGGTTTAAGGTGGTAACAATCATCTGTTGAGTTTCTTGCTCCCACTTTGCACAGATCAGCAGTGGACTTGAGAACATCATCAGAAAACAGTGTGGTCAGACAACCTTGGAGGTTGTAAAAGTGCATCCTGGTCAGAACTGCATAGTCTACCTGCGAGACACCAAGAGCATGTTTTACAGAAATGTGTTGCTGTTCAGCCTCAATGTTCCACCTCATGATACCACAGAACACATTTTCCCAATGATCCATGTCCATGAGCACTGTGAGCTCTGCTGAGGTGACTGAGAGTGGCATGAGGCTTTGTTAATTTTCATAAAATGTAATTATTACCTCCCATCAGCTTCTCAGCAGCCTTACTGTCATTTGAGCAATGTCCTCATTTTATGATTTGTCAGCTGCAGCAACACAAGGTAATCAGGATGGAGCCCTTTGCTGACAGAACCTGGAATTTGGTAGCTAGAAGCCTCCATCTGGGGCATAAAAGAAAAATAATCTCTTTCATCTTTAAGATCCCAAATCCCGTACTGAAAACTAATTCCAACCAGATGACATTGATGCACTAGGACTGTGGTTAGATTATGACTTGTCCCTTCGTCTAAATGTTGCTGCTTGCCAAAATAACTCAGTGCCTCGACTGGTCCCCAGGAAGACAAACTGGACATCTAATTTTCATAGTCCCTGCAGCAGCCATGTTTAGCATCATCCAGTCTGTTTGACCTGCTCCCCTCAGGCAGGAGGCTCCGGTCCATTCGCACCAGAACCTCTCGCCATAAGAACAGTTTCTTCCCCTCTGCTGTTGGACACATGAACAATAACCACATGACTGTCCCCACCACTAACACATGACCCTACGCTGTGTCGCTGCATCATTTCATGTTTTGGCACCGATCACCACCTGCACTCATGTATATATCTTTCTACGTAGCACTCATAAGTCTTATTCTCATGTATATATCTCATGTATATCTCATGCACATATCTTTCTTTCTACATAGCACTTTAATTCTTATTGTTTGCACTGAAGCACCGCAGCAATTTCCTAATGTTGTAAACCTCAACATCTGGCAATAAACCCCATTCTGATTCTGATTCTGATTCTGAGGAGGACAGGTTCAGCTCATTCTCCCTCCAAGTCTAGATGAACGCATCACAACTCAGCAATAAACAGTTGCCAGCACTCCAGCTAATTATGTATTCACTGTTTTCTGAAAAACAATGCAGAGTTTGTCTCCCTTCATAGATAGGTAGACAATAAAGGCTATCCAGTCTAATATATGGAAATTGCTTTACACCAGTTTCAGGTAGAATTGTCATAATCATCATAATATAAAGATTGAAAACAAACCTTCTCATTTAAAATGTAATGTTATTTATTCAGAAATACAGCAGCTGCAAGATACATTATTTTTGCTTCCTACAGTTTTCTCCATTTACAGTGATTATGTATATTTATAAATAAATATGTAAATAAAGAAATAATATATAAATAAAAACCATTTTCTCACTTTATTATTTTCTATAGGGAAAGTGGAGTCAGTTATAATAGACTGTGATAAGCAAAATAGATGTCATTAAATATTCATACTTACTAAATGGTAAATATAACTCTTCTGTAGCTCGGGGTTACCAAAATGCTGTGTCAGCCAATAGTGTGTCATTGGACTGTACTATTATTATTACTTTATTATTAATATTAGTGCCACATACAACTGGACAAGATTGGCTTGAATTATGATAATGACATGTCAAAGCCAACCACAGCATTGGCATTATGACTGGGTAGCATTAGCTGTTTATAACCAACAGCCTGTGTTGTTTATGTTTTTTGAATAAAATTTTCAAGCAAAGACATAACTTTTTCCTTCATTTTGAGTACAGTGAAGATTTGAGATTGGATGTGCTTTGGGGAACATCAGTGCTTCATAGACGAGTCATTGCCATCCCATGAAGCTAGAAAACAGATAATGGCTGTATAAAAAAAAACAACAACAACAGTATACTGCTGTGGTTCTTCTCTGACCTCTGGCCAAGATGTCAGCAGATTAATTAGTCCTATGCATGCACACTCTATTTGCCATGGCGTCAAAGTGTGCACAAAGGTTGACGTTGTGGTAACTAGCTAAGCAATTTACTGATGACAGCCTATTGATGAGGACCCACACGCTCAAGGCTAATGTCTTTAGAGGATTTATTGAAGTCCTCCTGCAAAGGACTGCAGACTCCTTATCAAACCCACAGGGTGACTCGTTGTCCCCGTGCTATGTCATATTCTGATCTGTGTCAAAGCACACAGAGGCACTTACTAACTGATAAAGAACTTTCAGCTCTATCTTGTGCGGTGTTCATCGAAGCAGCTGCCTCTAAAATAAAAAAGAATGCTTTGAGTTTGCAGGTGATCAAACTGTTTGTTTTATCAAATTCTTATGTGCACAGAAATTTTACCTATAAATGCTCCACAATGTTCTCAACAGCTAGTCTTTAACTCTTTCAGTGTGCTGTTTGCCGGCTCGGTGTAGAATGACATTCTGGAACTTTTTTGTCTGTAAATTGTTGCTCTGGGAATAAAAATAAATAAATGCTGTGGCAGTGTTGAGAGTGGAACAGTAAACTGAACCTGAAGATTTTTAGCTACTGATGATTAAAGGTTAGCCTTCCCTCACAAAAGCAAGACATTGCTACTAGCCAGGGTGTGAGACTCAGTGACAGCATCACTCTCTGTGGCAGTGACAGCAAATACAAACTCAACGTAATACCAAATCAGCAAATGACAATTACATTTTTGTGCTGAGTGATCAAATCATAGAGCAGCAGCACTGGTATCCAACAGCTAATACAAGTTGAATGCCTTAACACCAACACGACACAGTTTACTATGGCCACCAGGGGGCGATAGCTATGGTTTCATAGGGCTGTATGTGAAAGATACATTGAAATGATTGGTTATGTCTGGCCTGAGTCTTCTGTCAGAGACAGTTCAGCAAATCAAGAACTCAGTTAACTGCAACTTTAAAAATTCAGGCATACTGAATATTGTATACATTAAATGACTTTGCACTTTCAATCCCAATTCTGTGCAGTCTTGATCAAAGAATGTGTGACAATAATGTGGTTTTCTGGAAGAAAGATTTTTTTCTTTTAACTTATAACAACAATCACATCATCTTCTGCTGAGAAGATAACTCAATATGGAATAAGTATGTTTCTCTTTTTGAAAGGGACTGAAAATAGAGGGCATGTTCCTCCCATATTGGCTTCTCTTCATTTGCTCCCTGTTAAATTAAAATCATTCTCCTCACAGACAAAGTCTTGAATAATCAGACCCTCATCTTACCTTAAAGACCTCATAATACTGTATCACCTATATCAAAGCAACATCAACATGGATGGCTGGACCCAAGCAGGACATTGCTGAAAGCATCACACTGCCACTGTTGGCTTGCCTTCTTCCCATAGTGTATCCTGGTGCCAGGTTTTCCATTGATAAGGGATACACATGGACCTGGCCATCCACTTACAAGAAAACATGATTAATCAGACCAGGACACCTTCTTCCATTGCTCCATGGTCCAGTTCTGGTGTAAACATGCCCAATGTCGGTGCTTTCGGTGTTGAAAGGTCTGCAGCTCCACACACATTAAACTGTGATGTCACACAACTTGGCCCATGTCAAACTCGCCAAAATCCTTACGTCCGCTCATGTTTCCTGCACGTCACTTCCTCCCTAATATATCCCACCCACTAACGGGTGCCATGATGAAGAGAAAATCAGTGTAATTCACTTCCCCTGCCATAATGTTATGTCTGATCAGTGTATCCTGTGTACATGAAAACATTTTACTGTTAAGTAGGATATACTGCTGTTTTTGTTGGAAACAAGAGATTTTTACTGTCAGTTCACTCTGACAATCACTCAGTATTTCTACTGTAGAACAGAGCCGCTACTGTGACTGTCCATTTACTACAAACTGCTATCACAGGTGTTATCACGGGTTAGAGAGACAAATAATTGTGTTTTGTCAAAGAGACATCAGCTGCACTTTTCTAAAGACAGATCCACTACATGGAGGGAAGAAAATATTCTAATCATGGCTTAACTGTCTGTTGTCTTTAGGCTCAGATGGTGGTGACTTATTTATATAGCACACCTTTATAACACTGCCCTCATCTGGTCATTTTAAAAGGCTATATCCCCCCCACATTCACACATTTCTGCTTTATTTGCATCCATGTCATCAGCAGACAGAGGCATGAAGAGACTTAAATAATCTCACTGGACTGCATGACAAATCACATTTTATTTTCTGAGCGGATTGTACAGTTATTCAGTGTTGTTGGAAAACAGTTTAATGGTCTCTGTATCAAAAAAAAAAAAAAAAAAAAAGTACCATTACTACTAGGAGATAATATCTGAGAAATACTTTAGAATTAAAACATGTCAGTGTTGCATGTCAGTAGTTTACAATACAAAGTAAATCAAATCTACACAATTGATCTATACAATAGCAGCCACCTATGGCATATACAAAGTACCATAAAACAGCCAGGAAAATAAAAATATGTACATTTTCATGCTGTGAATAATTCAGTTATAGACATAGTTTAATTAGAGGTTCAAAAACTTTATAGTTTTCGATATACCTGATTAAGGAACATAAGGTGCCTTATTAAAAAATGATCTAGGGATATGTCCCATGAGAATCAACTACATGATCAGCAAAGTACAGTAAAATGCACACGTTATGATATTATGTGTCACTGTCAGTAAGTATCAATATGTTGTTGATTCAAACAAAGTGACGACTCAGTTGTAAATAAGTCTTTCACATTTTGTCTGAGCCTTTCATTATTTTAGGTCTTCGATGATTTCAGTAGTAAGGCAGGTGCTGTGTGGCACCTTTGGGTACACTCAAATAAACAGTTTTTAAACTAGTCAGTTTAGTGGTACCATCAACAGTGCTAATATGAACCGCTTTGTGTGCACAGTCTTTCTGTTCTGAAAGAAAGGGAGAATATATTCATGAAGGCAAGGCATCGGGAAGAGATTTACCCCCTTCAAGGTCAGTGTCTGAGTCCCCAATACAACGGGGATGTTCGCACGTGGCGCTCGCCCTTTTTAGTGTTGGCACCGTGCGCCTCCAACATGGATGCACCGACAAACTCCTCCTTTCCTGAATTCCACAGTGTCAGATCTGCCTTAGACCTCACTGTGGATGAACAGATGTGGCTCCTTAAGTCCTTGTTCCATTTAGTGACGCCATCTTCAGCAGGCTAGCAGGCATGGATTTTAAAAAAGATATACATACATAAAATGGACCAAAGGGGACCACATATTCAGTTCGTAGTGTACCGCCTCGTTCCCCCCAGTTTAAGTGCTATACTGGTCGTCACGGAGAACTAAGGCCGATGAAACCTGGAGGAAAGAGAGGAAAAGTCAAGAGGTCAGTCTAGACGCTACACTCAAAAATAGCACATAAAGAATTGATGTGCTGAATAAAGCTGAAAAACAGCTGGGATGAATGTTTAATGAGAGCTATATGTGAGCCTGACCGGGTATAGATCCTGCTCTCTTCGTGGACCTCCATCTCTGAACTCTTGAATTCGTTGAGCTCCTTGCGGATAGCAGCCTGAGAAGAGGAGGAGACATGAAAGAGAGAGCGCTTCAGTGGGAACGGCTTTTATCCGTTTACAGTAGAGCACAGGAGAAGAAAGGCAGCAACGGATCAAAGCTTCATGTATTTTGATGATTCCTCAACTCTTAATGCTCCACAAACAACACAAACACACACATTTTCAAACAAACTCAATCTGTATTTGATATCATGCCATATTCCAGTTTCCCCTCTCTCCCTAACAAGCTTCACGTGGCTCGGTAATTCACCTGGTAAGTCTAAACCCGGCCATTATGCAGTACCTGTGCTGCATTCCAGGGATCCTTCTTTGATACCAAATCTGCTTGGAATGCAAATCCTCAGAGTGGTAAAATACTTGCAATGTTTAAGCTACCCACTGCTAAGAAGCTCCAAACCACAGGAGGCCTGTCACGATAAAGAGATGCGTTAGAAGGTGAAGTCTCTCACCTTATCAGCAGGTGTTAGCTTCGTCCACGGCTTGTCTGCTCTGCGATCGTAGTCCTCAGCGTGGGTGCTTTCGACGTACTCATGGAAACGCAGGATCTTCCTGGCTTGAAGCTCGGCCACTGTGGGTCTCTGAGACAGCTGATGGTAGAATGGACAAGCCTGCTGTCAGTTTCTTGTTCACAACAACAGCAGCAACAGAAACAAGCTCTCACATTAAAGTCATTAAAGTCACTTTATTGTATCCTAACCTTTCTGGTGAGCCTCCGCTTGATCTCGCTTCTCTCCAGCCGTCGGTCCACTTCGTTCTTGGCTGTGGGGAGGAGAGCACATTCCATGAGATAGGGAAACGCTACAGATAGATTTCACCTGAGCTGCTGTCGGCACGCTGCCCTCACTGGAATCTTTAATCACTGCCTGGCTCTGCACAAGGCACTGCATTGTTTTTAGCACGCTGAGGAGCATCAGTTCTGTAGAGTCATCTGAGGACAAGCGAGCTGCAGTGGGGCAGAATGAATCCTTGCAGATTCTGAGAAGTATTAAACCTGGAATCGCACTCAGCATCACAGTGATGCTGCATCAGTGAGCTACCACAGATAATCTGCTCCTCATAGTTTGGAACTTTCCGTTCTTGTGTTTTAACATGTAAGCAATGGTTTCTTATTTCAGAAACCTGGGTTATATATTTGGTAATTCAGGCAAAAAATATAGAAGTGTTGAAATACTTGAGGGTAGCGGCTGACCTCAGTTTGTCCATCGGAGGGCACTCACTCTACAACATCCCTGTTGGGAACAACCACCACAGGTTTGGGCCTGTACTGAGTTCACTAGGCTCCGGGCATTGTTCCACTCTCTGGGTTCATTTAAGCTAACAGTGGCAATCAGGACAAGCAGTCACACAGAGGTATGAAGTTAACCCAGGGTTTCCCCTACACGTTCGCATGAAGCCGTGGTGATGGTAGCATCTGACCAATCTTTCACGGATCCTATAGCTCGTCTTCCACAGGACAGGACTCCTGTGAGTGCTGCAGCTCGCTAACATAAGAGTGAGTGAATCTAGATAACAAAAAGATACCCTAGGAATACTGACGTTGCTCTACAGTACAGGCCTCTGATCCGAGCAGAGAGGAAACAAGTATTTACTTGTAAACTTGTGACAATAAGAGCAGATTATTTTAAACTGCAGTATCATCTTATCGTAGTTAAGGACTCAGTTTGTTTCGTTTGTCTGAAATTATTTTTAATTTTTTTTTTTTTTTTTAAATCAACAAATACCAGTATGTATGCCGGTTACAGAACATTGGTTTTCCAGCATCAGCAGTTGAAAGTCCATCACTTTGATTTCAGGTTAATGGTTAAAAGGAATAACACACTGTGTACAGCTTCTGGAATTGTGCTGTGCAGCTATACTGCACACGTTTCAGTTACTTCACTACTGCATGCGATTTCTCTCCCACTGCACAGATTCTGGATAACGAGGACAGATTGTATTAAATTCTAAACAAAGAGTGGGGATTTGTACACAGCCCTTGGTAAGCTTGTTCAAATTTGTACTGCAGCCCAGAGATTCAGGAACTACACAGGAGAAGGCATCAACCACAGAATGATGGGCTAATAACAGACAGGACAGCAATGCTCCATCTACATTTTCATCTGAACTGAACGAAAAATGTTATTTTTGTGAAGTAAACAGAGGGGAAAAACATAAATACAAATCAGATTTAATTTATTTCCATCACATGCGGCAGCAACCCGAGGTCCTTAATAAGTTCAGTGTCTGCTGTGAGGCCTGAATTTGAATACCTCCGACAGTCTCTTAACTAAAGCAGAGCAGCAGCACTGACAGAGCTGCCTGGTGACTGACCACGAGACAGATGGACATGATATAGTAAATGTAGTGGCTGTGACTCATTAATCGCACGTGTTTGCTGCCATGTCTGGAAGGCAATGAGTAATTTAGACTCAACATCAATATGGACAACAAGCAGACGTGCCGAGTTGAAGAGCCTAAAGGAACATTGGATAAATAACTGATTCAGGCTCTCTAACGTGCACTGGTGTATTTATTCAAGTCACACACAAACTTGTAATGAAGTGCTCTCAGACCCAATAATGTCCAGACTGCTGTGTGTTTAGTGACACCCGTGGTGCCTGAGGCAAAAAGGAAAAACATTTTACAGATGAGTGAATGACTAATGCTCTCTATTGATTTCAAAGATGAGAAAATAGAAAGTGGGCTTCTTAACATTACAGCGCCGACGAATGAGATGCGAGTAAACACACAGCTGAATGGAGACATGAAGGATGGAGAGAGCAAGAAACTGAGGAAGAGGCTCACCTGGAAGGATGTTCCTCTGCTCCAGCTCTTTTGCTGTGGGTCTCTGACTCAGCCGCCTGAGGGAAGACAATATTTCAGACGGAGCATATTTTTCTTTGGCTTCATTAGATAAATAGTGAAGAGTAGACAGGGAAGTGAGAGAGGGTGTGTTTTGAAGAAGAAAGTGAAGTGCTGCAGATATCGATCTCACTCTACTTTTTTGAGTTTGCTGCATGTTAATGTGAAGCCAACTAAAAAATAAAACTATTCAGGCCCCATTTTTCCCCCCAAACTGTCTTAACTTTACTCTTGGTGCCTAAAAACCTTTACCGTGTCAGTGTGGTCCCGATCTTGTTCCTCAGTTCCTCCCACTGCTCCTTATTGTTCCAGCTCATGCCATCATTGTTATCCTGAGTCTCCTTCTCTCGCTCTTGTCGCTCCAGTTTCAGCGCCAGCGTGTCCTTCCTCTTCACTCGACTCGCCAGCCCACCTGTTACACACAAGAGGCATGTTTATACATCCAACAACAACAACATGCCTACACCTGCATCATCTTTACACAGCTGAACATGGACATTTCAAAGAAGCTAATAAAGACCAAGTGCTTAAAGCTATAGTTAGTAAGAGCTCAGAGCCAGTATCCTCGGTGTGAGAAGCAAACGGATCAAAGCAGTTTCAAGGAAAATTATGGAGACCAGTTTCGCCAAAAAGATAAAAGGATTCATTTCCAATTACCTGGTGAATTTATGAACATGCTGGAAATCTCTGCAAGCAACAGATGATTTTTTCAGTTTTTACAATTAATCATATTTTTTTAGTGTGTGAGTGTGTAGCTGTGTGTTGGTGTGTGTGTGTGTGTGTGTGTGTGTGTGTGTGTGTGTGTGTGTGTGTACACCACACACACACACACACACACACACACACACACACACACTCAGACACACACACACACACATATATTTATTTATTTATTTATTTATTTATTTATATTTATTTATATTTTTACATTCTGTCAAAGTTCTTAGAAAGAAAATCTGAATCAACAAAACTATGATTTCCCCCCCCAAAGAGAAAGGAAAGAAATCTGAGGAATCTGAATCAGTGAAGAAAACTGTTATTGGTCCATCTGTACTGTAAGACATGAAAAAAAATCTAGTAACTTCTTCATGTTTCCTCAAATACAGTCAAGGTTGAGGCTGTCTTTAGAGGAAAAGCAAAAGCAGCAGAGACACCTCAGGACATCTGACAACTAGAAATATGGACTAATGAGTAAGAATGCGGGAATTCTGGTTATAGTTGTAGCTTTTTTTTTTTAAAGAGGAAAAAAAATAACTGGATGGTAACCGTGTGTGGTTAACACAGTGGATAGATGGAGAAGCCGTGGAAAATTTATTCAGAATTCAAGGAAACATCTAACCACATTTAATAGCTGGTTTGACCTTAATGAGATCATCATTATTTTTAAAGCAGGAAACTGTGCTGGTGTGGTGAGTTAGAGTGAAAGCAAAGCAGCCAATCACAGCTCCGTGTATGTAAAAAGTCCTTGAAGACCACTAGAATAAACTGTGTGCAAAGCAAAGCATTCAGAAGAGAATATTAAAGGAAAAAAAGACAGAGACTTTGCTTCATGTACACTTTCTTCTTATGATTTTTCAAAGTCTTGATGTCTTTAGAATTGTTGTTGCCCGTAGAAAGTAAAAATAATGAACAGCCCTTTAGGCCTCTGGCAGGTGGTGTCCAGAAAAATCTACAAAGTGAGACAATTTTTTCCCAAAAAACAGAGCATCACGAGGAAAAACTGGCAGATCGGTTATTGACAGTATTATGTAAATTAGGAGACCCACAGTCTTCCATCACTTTGAATGTTTTCAGTTATTATGCTTGAGGAACATTGAAACCAGAAACCTGACAGCTTTAAGATGTCAGTGCTATAGGAAGTATTTCCCATTACACTGATATTTTAAGTATTACATATCACATCCTTTGCTTATATTGAAAATAACAATTTCCTGAAATGAGAGACACTAATTTGGCCGTGAGCTGAGGTGAAAACTATTTTCTATTCATCTTAATGTACTTAAAGATAAGTGAGATTTTTAAATGTCACTTTACAAGTGGAACTTACTTGGAGGGCCTTCCTCGTCTTCATCACTTTCTTCGTCTTCTCTGTACAGGATGGGGCCATCTGAGTCCGACTCCTCCTCGCTGTCTCCAGGGCCTCCACCCTCAGGGATGACGGACACTCTGGGGTCTCCAATCAAACCTCTCCTGCTGCGGGGCTCCAGCTCCGGCTGGTTGGACGGCTTAGGGGTAAGTTTGCGCATCTCCTCTTCAATGTCAAAGTCATCGTCTTCTGGCCTGTGAAGGAACACAGCAGCTGTTAAAGAGCAATAAGCCCACCCTGTCACAAACCCGCTCATTGCATTTGGGAGCAATTGGGTGGGGTGCTATTATAAAATATTCGCTGTGAATTTGAAAACTACTTCTGCTTGAAATGCCCATCCCTGGTGCGCAGCTGAGGCAATAAAACAGAGGTCGTTTGCCTCCATCAAACAACATCTGTTTGTACTGATTTGTATAGAAGACTCAAAGGCGTTTAATTTTGATATAACAGTTTAGCCACACACTATGTTTGCAGCAGCTCATTCAAACTTTGAACGGTTTTATTATTATGATGTGGTTTAAGCACATTAACCCACATCAAACTATTCTGTCATGAAGCTACGTTTCCAAAATAAAGCCAAATGTGCCTCTTGATTTGTTATGCATCTGCATATTCCAAATAGATAAATAAAAATAAAACCTGTGCCTACCCAGTGTTGGTCACTATATAATGAGTGCATAATGTGAAGCATATGGAGCACTTACAGCCTAAGTGGTTCGATGGTGATGGGGAGAGAGTGCCGTGAGTTAAGCCCCACTTCTGTGGGGATCGCTGGTGGTACCTCAAACAGCAGTGAGTGGGCTCTATGGGAACCGTCTGGGTTTGGCTGAGGTGCACCGGGACTGGCCAGAGCCCTAGAGATGCGAACATGTAGAGGGAGGAGTGGAGGCTGGCTGGGTGGCTCGGTGGTTGGGCTCGGCGGGTTAATTTGCGTCGTGGGGATGGGACCTGTGGAGGGGATGCTGGGTGGCTGGAGCGACTGAACCCTGGGGGGAGATGGAGGTATGTGGGTGGGTGGTAAAAGCAGAGGCTCAGTGGAGGTCTCAGGTACTGCTCCATTTGTCTTCTCCTCTGTGTTATTTCCTTTCAGGACAGCAGGGGGCACCAGAACAGGGGCATGGGAGGGCTCACGGGTGGCAGACTCTGGGGTCTGACTGGGAGGAGAAGGATCCACAGAAAGGTGCTTGATGACAGGGGTTGTCCTCTTTGGAGGGGTTGGCGGAGAGCGTTTGGTTGGTACCGGGACAACACCTACACCAGAGCCAGCCTGTGAAAGCTCTGCTGTTAAAAAGAGAATCAACAACAAGTCAGTATAACATAGTACAACATATACAACCTATCATGAGCAGGTTTCAATCTGTAAATGAGTATGGTTAGTTTTATTAACAAAAATGAACAAAAAGCAAATCTGTCATTTTTAGTGAGGGAGAGATGTTCCTGTTAATTCAGAGCTGGCTGCTGAGTCAGTGGAGGGTAACACAGGTATTAGCTGTATCAGCAGGCTTTTAATGAACATTCCAGTGTGATGAACACGCTTAGAGCATTTTGAGAATTAAATGCCCACCACATTTCCATGCAGAGCTTTTTTGCCATACATTAGCTGAGCTAAAAAACAGCTACAACCACAAAACACATGCGATGGAGGTCTGGGGTTAAATGAAGGTGAGGTATTCCCTGTTGTATGAAGTTTGTGGCTCTATTCCACCTCTCTCCAGGCTTTACTACAACAGACCGGGATTGTGGCGCCCCTCTGGGTACCTGAGCAGCACTGGCCAGCCCTGTGACGCAGGTACAAGGGTAGAGAAAAGTAGAGGCCGAGCTCACTCTGGCGTCTCCAGCTGGTCCAGTAACAAGGCTGTCTGACCTTAGAGCCCCTGTTCAACGTGGAAGCTGGCAAAAATGAGTGGAGATGTCAGGGATAGGGCTGGGTTTACATTCCAAGTTGGGAGATGAATATGAGAGGGAGGGGGTTCAGATAATGGTTTCTTGGCTTTACTTTGCCAGAAGCAGAGTGTACATCCATCATTACACAGTAAACAACTTCTGTGGAAAAATATCTCAGAGCAAAAGATAAGCACTTTCCTCATTGCATTTAAAAAAAAACAAACAAAAACCCACTAAAGTGTGGTGTGGTAAACATTCCTGACAGTTCAGGGAATTAAATCACAGGGAAATTATGTTTCTTCTCATTTTGGCTGGCCCATCAGCAGCAGCTACAATCACACATAATATATAATATACAACACAATACATACATATATATCAAATATATATACATACATATATACATCATACATATATACATATATACATATCATACATATACATATACACATACATACTATATACACATATATATATACATATACACATACATATATATACATAAATATATACATATACAGATATATATACATACATATAACACATATACACATATATATATACACATACATATATATACACATATACATACATATACATAATATACATATACATACATACATATACATATCATAACAAACACATATACATATATACATATATACACATATATATACATATACATATATATATACACATAATACTACATACACATATATACACATAAATATACATCATACATATATATTATACACACACATATATATACTATACAACACATAATATATATATATACACATATACACACTATATTATATAATATACACATACCATATATATATAATACTATACACAGTATATATATATATATATATATACTATATATATATACCGATATAATAGTAATGTATATTTATTATACTAATGATATCATGTATATATATCACGACATTATATATGATGTAATACATATATATATACATATAATTAATATGTTATAGTGATTTTCTACACTACTATACTAATAATATTACATATACATTACTATATACATATATATATATAATTACATTACATATATATATATATACATTATATATATAACATCATTAATATATATATTAAATTATAATATATTATAAATTATACATATACTTTATATATACATACTACATATATAATAATTACATTTATACATATATATATATATATATATACATAATATATTATATATATATACATTATATTATATATATATATATATATTACACATTATAATATATATTCATAATATATATATATATATATATATTATACCACTTATAATTTATATATATATTATAATATTATATACTATTATATATATATATTATATATTATTATATACAACTATATATATTATATACAATATTATTATATACCATATATATATACTAATATATCTATATATATATATATAATTTATAATATATAACATTATTATATATATATATTATGACATAAACATATACTATATACTAATATACCATATATATTATATACATATACATAAGATTACATATAAGTTAATATATCATATACATATATATATATAATACATTATACTACTATATATATAATATATACTTATATAGTATATATACATATTACTTCAATATACACATATATAGATATACTACACCTTTATTATATTTTTTATATAAAACAATTATATTTATATACACATATAATACTATATATAACACATAATATATATACAATATATAATATATCATCATATTATATATACTACACATACTAATATAAATAACACTATAATATTCACTAATCGATATATTATATATATATTATTATATATATATACTATTTATAATAATATACCTTTAATTATATATAATATATTATATAATAACACTAGTATATATAATATCTTCTCTCAGCTGGACTCAATATTATTATCATCATCATCATCATCAGCCTTTTTATTGCAGGTCTAAATTAAAACCCTAAATGTAAATATCAGTCTCAAATGCACAATACTGGTCATTAAATGATTTACACATCACACAGCATAGTTTTTAATATAACACAGCCTTAAAAAGTAGGAACAAAGCATCACAGAGGGAACAGAAATGAAAACTGAAAACAGAAGATGAGACCTTTTCTTTATCACAATCATATACGTGCAACGCTTGACAAAAGGCAGTGGAATGTGTCACTGCCACAGAGAATCAGCAGGTTTCAGATACAGTGCTGTAAACAGGAGCAGCTGTGGCATGCTGGGACAAAGAGATAAATACTAAAAGCCAATCCTTTTTTTTTTTTCCCATAAATCTGCCTTGCGGTGCAATACTACTAATGCTGCATAAGAGGAGCAAGCTCGTGCGTGTCTCCTCGACTGAGTGGCGGAAACACCGAAACTTCACAACTGGTGACATACTGGAAAGCACACACATCAGTGACATCCGTGAACAAGTACGGATATTCTGTATATCAGGATTACATCATGTTCAAATGGTGAAGTAAAAGCAGCACATTTACAACTTCAAATCCACTAAAGAGCAATTCTACTACTGTCAGCTTTTAATACTTTTAATGAGGTCTGAAACACCTGTATCTAAGTCACAATTGATTTTTAATTGCATATATCACTACGTGAACTATCTTAATTGCCCCTTGGGGACAAATGAAGTCTTTCTGATTCTGAACTATGTGAGCCCTTTGGCCAATAACAAAAGCTGACTGTAGTAAGGGTTTAGCAAACATGGAGGTTTGGGTTAGAGCATGCCTCACCAAAGAGAGAAATTAGCTGGAAAAGGTTGAAGTCATCAGTCTACATTCAGCCCATTGAAAATGTCTATAAATGGAGACAACTTATTTCTGTGGTCATTCTCTTATAAGTGGGATGAAGCACAAAGCTGATCTGTGACCTCAGACGAGCAGCTCAGAACAACAACTAAAGATGTAAAGGAAGTTAACTAACATGTCTGTTCATGACTGTATGCAGATCACTGATCAGGCATTGTTTTGTGTTTGTGTGATCCTGAATGTCAAAGTCAAGCTGGTAACAAGAATGACCTTGACAAACAACAGTCAGTGTTTGGATGAGCATGTGATTACTATGAGACAGTTTTCCTTATTTGTAGCTCTCTGTTGCAGCAAGATGTTTGGTTCTAGGCTGGCCTGGCTAAGTGCTTAGCTAACCTTTTCTGTAAGGACCAAAACAGAAAGAAAGAAAGACAAGGGGGGAAAAAGCACTTCTATCTACTCATATGGACTATTTTTACTTGCACATTACTTTTCTCAGTTTATACATATATTTAAAAAAAAAAACACCTATACTTTAATCTTAATAACTGTACAGTACTCTGTTATTGTAACTATTTTCCATGATGTAAATATTTTCTTCTGTAAACGTTGTGTACGTTTCTGTTCTGTTTGTATATGTGCTTTTATTCTGCTGCTGTTACAACCAAATTTCTCCTTGTGGGACAATTAAAGGATTATTCTATTCAATTCTTTCAGATAGAATCACAATGTCTTTGAATTCGCTAATAGTCAAACCTGCAAGATCTAAATATGAAACGAAGTCATAATCACGCTGTTATTCATATACAAGTCACTGAACAAGGCCTTTTTCACAGCATCTATTTTAACGTGAACTACAGTTGTAATAATGACTTTAATGACAGATCGGTTCTATGAAGGCAGAGCCTTTACTATGGCAAATAGTATTTACCTAATGTTCCATGTAAATATGATGACTTAAACAAAGACTTTGCAAACATATCCTTTCTAGCAGCAAAAAAACCCCAGACTTGGGCCCTGTCTATTCCAAGTAGCTAAAAGTGTCCAGCACCATGTATTTGCTGAAGTCTGTAGAAAGACTTATCTGGTCATGTATAACATACCTTTCCCATAAACAACGGGGGAAAAACTTTGAAACACTCACTGATCTCCAGAGTTTGACCTGTGACCTAAGGAACAATGTCCACCTGCACCTGCTTTTCTATTGGAAAATTTTTCCATTATTCTATTTTTCCACCAGAAGTACCACTACTACAGTCAGCGACACTTTAAACCCAGCATTGAAATGTCATTTAATAGCCTCTTTTTCTAAAAACCAAAACATCTTCCCTCTGTCGTCTTTGTACTTGCTCCTAAAAAGGCCATTTTGGGATTTCGTTTGATGAATCCTGTAAAAACAAACAATGTAAAACAGCAGAAGCAGGCAACAAACTCACCAAGCAGTGCAGGGTTGCTGTTGCGGTTGGTGGGTTTGGGTGGGGGGACAGGAGGTTGTTTGGCATGGGGAGGAACGGGGGGCGGTGTGTCAGAGTCAGTTGAGGAAGCAGCAATGAGGGAAGGTCGGGAAGCGTCATCTATAATTAGGGACACCGTCCTTGGGGGTTTGGCTATAGATACAGCAGCAGAGGAGGAGGAAGACGAAGACGAAGAGGATGAAGACGAGGAGGGGGTCGGACTCCTGGTGGACTCATAGATAGGACTAGCGAGGAACTTGGGGGGGAGCAAAGCTTGTTTGGGTGGGAGAGGCAATTGCTGTGAGTCCTGTGTTGGAGGAGTGTCAGGGGTGAAGCGGACACCAGCAGACTCTACAGAGGGGGTAGACACACACACAAACACACACACGCACACACACATTAAAGACAAGGTCACAATAAGGTGCTGCATGAACACAAAATGCTGCTGCATAAACAGGAAACATGAAAGGGAACGCTGAAGGAGAAGCTGATGCCCGAGTCAGGCTTATAAAATAATAGAGCTTAACCAAAGGGAGGGCAACTCGGATCAAGGTTCTGCAATTATTAGAGGATGAGAGGCAACGTGAATCACATGATGTAAAAATCACACACAGCAGACGAGGAGGAGGATCAAAGATGCACAGAGGGGTCTTAATGATTTGTTTTCCCGCTTTTCGTGTTCACCTAGATTCATGTATCTAAGCTCAGCATTTATCGGTTCATCTTCATTAGCCCATCAAAATGAGGGTTTAGTCATTTACTAAAAATGCCTTTGCAACACCATCAGGACACTGATTAGCAGCGGTTTCATCATAGCTAAGCATCCACTGATTAAGAAAACAGGCACAGACACAAGAAATTACATCGCAGATTCAAATTGGTTTCATCAACTAAACAGGTAAACAACAGATACGACAGCAAATTTGAATTGCCATTGTATCTGTTGGTCGATAACAAAATATCAACCAACAGATAATTTAACTTGCAGACAAAAATGCTTAGATTATAATAAACTGCCTTGGTAGTAGTCCACTTGAAACATTTAAGTCACTACAAGCTTAGTAAGTAACTCCTTTTCCCTACATGAAATGCAGATACAGTGGCTCTGGAAGTGCCACTACACTGATGCAGAAGCAAAAGTTGTTTAAGATGAAATAAGGCGAAATCATTGTTCTTACACAATATGGGAAACTTGCAGCTTGTGAAATCCAGACATGTGCTACACACACACACACACTACTGGCTCCCAACAACTACTCACTCACAGGCCTACAGGAGTTATTCAATTTAAAAAAATTAATTAAAAAAAATCAGTGCCTACAACGTGAATCAGCTGTCTTTTGTACAATAACTTAAAAAAAAAAAGGCAGGCAAGACTTCATCAGAAAGCTGAGCATCTGTACTGCAAAACTGCACAATTTCAGGATGTATTTTTGATAATTCACTGCAGACAACTTCAAAAGGTGCATTGTGGGTAAACCTTTCATGATCAGATCACTGTGTGCTGGCTCATGTCCAGAGTGACTGCTCTTTACTTGACCCAGAAAGCTCAAGCACATCAGTGCAGTCACATTTTCATGAAATTGCAATTATCAAAGATGGCCATGTTGCTCATAACATGACAAAAGGTTGAAATTAAACCTGCAAACCACACCTTAGTATATTTTGTGTTGAATTGTGGTTTTCATTCCTTGAGCAAGTAGAAGGTCAAATTAACATTTGGTGAGTATGTAAGAAATATATTTTGACACAAAAGGAAGCTGAAAGATGAGACTGGTATCAAAAAGTAAGTTAAAAGGAAACCATCCGTTTACTGTAAGATGTTCTGGTCAGCCACCTAAACCAAACGGTGATATAGACGAACTTTCAGTTTGTCCAAAATGCACTTTTTCAAGTTTCCTTCAGTGAGTTATCAAAAAGCAGATCAAACAACTTGGGTATCACACTAAAGGCTTCTGAGAGAGAGACCTCACCTGATCGTTCTTTGAACTCTGCAGGGGCTACGTATCTGGGCAGGGTGCTCCTTCGGTCAGACTCTGACGCAGGGCGAACTTTCTTGCTTTCCTCTGAGGAGCTCTTCTGGAGAGGAGGCCTCAAGTCAATCTCAGAGGCAGGCCTGATGATGGGCTGAAAGTTGTCCACAGACCGCTGGGGTCCTGGCCTCTCTCTCTCATTTCTTTTGGCCCAGTTATCCCGTTTGTCCTCCCTCTCTACTCGAGCATCTTTCCTCTCGTGGTTTTCTCTGTCCCTGTCATCTTTGTTCTCTCGCCAGTCTCTCTCGGGACGCCGATCCCTCTCTTCTCTCCTGTCTCTGTCATCCCTTTTTTCTCTTTCATCACGCTTCCTATTTTCTCTGTCCTCCCGCTCGCGGCGTTCTCTTTCATCCCTGTCTCTCCTTTCCCTGTCGTCCCTATCCCTCTTGTCCCTCTCATCCCGCTCTCGTCGTTCTCTTTCATCTCTGTCTTTCCTGTCCTTCTCTTCACGTACTCGACGCTCCTTCTCATCCCGATCCCTCCTTTCAAGGTCCTCCCGATCCCGCCTCTTGTCCTCGTCGCGGTCCCGCCTCTTGTCCTCGTCGCGGTCCCGCCTCTTGTCCTCGTCGCGGTCCCGCCTCTCACGCTCGTCCCGGTCCCGCCGTTCTCTGTCTCTATCTGTCCTTTCATCCCTCCATTCTCGCCTTTCTCTGTAGTCTCTATCTTCTCTCCGGTCAACTCCACCATCCCTTTCTCTTTCCTCTCGCCTATCTCTTTCTTCCCTGTCCTTCTTTTCATCTCTGCCGTCTCTTCTCTCATCTCTACGGTATCTATCATCTTGTTGAGACCCTCGAGGTAGAGTTCCTCCTTTCTTATCAATATCTGATGGCAGACGGCTTCGTTTGTCTACATCAACAGCGAGCCGTGCATGAGTGTCCACATCCAGCGGTGCCCGGTTACTTCGAGAAGCGTCAGACGGCACTCGGTTACGACGTTCATCTAGTTGGGGTAGCCTGGAATTCACCTTAATGTCCGACTCTCCTCGAGACACTCGCACCCCCGCTTCTGAGAATCTGTCCACATCCATTGGCACAGGGTGACCATTTTTAACTGGTGGAGCTTTGGAGTGGTTCACTTCATTACTCTCTGTCAAAACAGTGAAACGAGTGTCATTAAAGTTGGATCCAGTTCAGCCACAGAATGCGTATTACAGGTCTACCTACCGTTCTCTGGGTCGTCCTTTAGAACGCCTTTTGCTATTAACTCTTGGCGGCTTTTCCTAACTGAAATCTTCCTCTCCAAAACTAAAACAAAAAGTAAAAACACATACATTAAGCACGATGTAATGATTTACACAACATGCAAACGCGACAAAATCCTGTAGTAAGCATACCTATGGATGTTTCTGTGAACTTGTCACTTGGCTTCTTCTTCCTCCATTTCCAGGGCTTGAAGATATTTCCCATTTTGGAAAACTTGCCTTTACGTTTAGCTGGAGGCGTTCCTCCACCAGAGCTGCCCTCCTCACCTCCTTTTGTGCTCTGTTGTAGGTCAACCTCATCATCTGCATGAACAGGACACAGAAAAACAATTTCAACTCATGACAACACCCTCACACATTAATCCAGTGTCACACTTATCCCTTATTTTGAGAACATACAACCGTCTAATGTAAAAACTAAACAGTCTTTACAGGCCGCACCAGTGCAGTTAGATTTCAAATGTAAGGCAGGGCTGCCTTATTAACTGCCATAATGAAAACACTAACCTCTAAACAAGTCTAGTCCAAATTCCACTCCTCCACCTCCTACTATTTACAGGGTGGTGTGATTTAATGTGGGGGGTTTTTTTTGCCACTAAGGTGACAGTGGGGACTCAAGACCATGTGGTATTCTCCTCCATTTGTCACACCACCACTATCAAACTCAAAACCTGAAATATTCTTGGCTTTAAGGGGAAAAAGTACATATCTGAGTCAGAATTGGTAAATGGACTGATTCTAAAATAGCGCTTTTCTACTCTCACTGAGCACTCAAAGCGCTTTATACAACTTGCGCATTCACCCAATCATACCCATTCACACAAGCACTTGATCTAAGGTTTTTAGTGCTTCTATCTTGCATTCACTCGCATTCTCACTCCGATGGATGCATTGGAGGGCAACATGGGGTTAGTATTTTGCCCAAGGATATTTGGCATGTAGACTGGAGGAGCCTGGAATCAAACCACCAACCTTCCTGTTAGTAGGTGACCGCTCTACCACCTGAGCTACAGCCACCCCCATTCTAGAACAGGAGCATTCCAGAGGAAGTGTTTTGAAAATCCCGAGAAAGCCATAAGTGGGTGTGAATCTACCATTATAATTCTTAGGCGGTGAGTCGGCAGCAGTTATAACTGTTACACAATACTGCACTGGAGCATGGCAGACAGTGACAGGAAGTCCTGTGGCATTTCAACGTTTAATGTCCCTGAAAGGAATCTTAAAATGTGCTTATTTAGCTGTAGCGGTTAGACTACACATTTTATGCATCCCTCTCTACTATAAATGAGTTCATTTTATATTTTGGCAGTCAATGACATACCCAACAAGTTCCTTCAGGAACAGGTCCAGAGAGAATTTCTTAAAAATGCTATACTCAGCATTTCGGTTACATTTCACACTTAGCCAGACCGGGCAAAGGTCAAACTAACAGATCGGCAAACTAGTCATTAGTCACCAATTCAAAATTCTTATAATTTTCTTATCTCAATATGCCTCACAGTGAGAAACTGAGCTGTGACCGGTGTGGCACAGGGTTTAGATAAATGTGGCCATTGGTCAGAGTCATCAGAACATTGTGCTCCACCCCCGAGGGGAGTAAAAGACAAAAAGTCTGAAAATCTGGATAAAATCCTGGAGGGATAATGCAGAAAAATCAGTATTGAATGTCCATGATCTTTGGGCACCAAGGCCCACAGCGTTAATAACAGAAATGATTCTGTGATGATAATCACTGCAACAGCTCAGGAAATCACTCTGTCTAACCACAGTTTGCCATGCCATCCACAATTTGAAGCACTGTCATGGAAAGAAGAAGCCATATGATCTAGAATCGCCAAAGTATTCTTGAGGCCGAAACTCATTTAAAATGGACTGAGGCAATGTGGAAAAAACTGCTCTGTCATAAGACCAATGAAAAATTTTAAATGGTTTGGGAACACATTGATGCTTCTTGTTATTAACAATCTATTTGTGTCTATAAAACTGGCAGATCTGGAAAGGCACCTTCAATGGTAAAAAGCACACACACAGGTTTTTGAGCACCGTATGATGCATCGAGACAATGTCATTGTTTGTCAATAACATTGTTTCATAGGAGGGAAAGTGTTGTATTGGTTAGAGCAGGGCGACATGACCAAAAATATTTATCACGATATACATTTGAAAAATTGCAAAAACAATATAACTGACGATATAATTGACACTAGACAAAATACTTTACAACTCCACAACTTTATTAGTGCTAAAGAAAATAAATAAATAAATGTATTTTCACTTAAACAAGCAGCTGTTTTTTTTTAAAAAAAAATTTATGTGCATTAAAGTTATATAAAAATTTAACAGTGAAAATGCAAATTCCTTGCTGACAGTTTAACCAAAAGGCATTTCCAGTGGAAATTGGCCGACATATCCTCAGCATGACCATGTATCATGTCCACGAAACTTAAAGAGGTTATACACACACACAATACGGTAATATTATGTTGAAGCGCAGTACGTATCACTCCGTGAGGCGCCTGCCTACGATAGCTGTAATGCTCCGACAATCCATCAAGCGGTGCGGGTTCGTAGCTTAGCAAAGTCGTACTAAAACATTTGACAGATTTTCGAGCGCCGTGTACGACATAAAATCGTTTCGAGGTCGGTAAACACAACCAGAATTCATACATAAGGCACACGGGATTATAAGGGGTGCTGACGATTTTCAGAAAAATCAAAGGATTGATTTTAAGCATGCTCTACCAAAAATAGTGCTTTGGTGTGTATCTGACGGACGAAAGCTAAACCAGTTCCACACCACTGAAGTTGCAGCATTTTTACAAACCAATTCTGGTTCATCGGTTTCATTCAACGATCCGCTTTCGCCCTTCTCATTCTCCGTCGCCGCCATGCTTTTTCCACCATGTGCATATGAAAACAAAGGCGCGTTTTACCCATATTCTATTGCGATATTTCATTGTCTTATTGTTGCCCAACGTTATACCGGTATTACCGTGAACAGTATGATATGGCCCAGCCCTAGTGTTGGTGTTAACCACAAGCTATCAAAAAATACTGATCCACCACAGCCACACTAACAGGGCTGCCTCTGACACAGATCTGTATGCATTTAACTTATAACGACCTGATGAAATATTTGCAGCAGGGTCATCCATCAAACTGTTAACTGACAGAATATTTCAAAATGGCATTTAATGACCAACCCCCCACCATATGTCTCTGAATTCCTCGGGGGGGGGGGTCATCCATGGCTCAAGCCCGGATGTTTTTTGAATGATCTCATGAAAGAATTGTTTATTAAGGGAAGGCGTGTTCAGGCATCAGTGTGTCACTGTTGATCAAAGGCCAAGTCACATCTGAAACTCTCCCATCTCTGACCACCCAACAATCTCACAGGAGACACTCTCTCCGGCAGCTCCAACCCAACTGCCTGTGTTGATTGATGGGGGATTGACAAACAGCATTCAATGAAAAATATCTGGGATTCCACCAGCTTTGTTGCAAAGCAGGTTGACCTAGTGACTAATGATGCTAAGGGGCATTAAAATGCAACACTGCCCCAAATATGATCAATAGGATTCATAATGGGAAGTAGGGAGCCAGCCTATAACACCCTTAGTTATCAGTTCAGCTAAAGCCTTTTCACAAAAGAAAAAAAAAAAGAGAAAGGCACAGAGGAGACCAGAACAGGCAGAGAAGTTGCAGCAGAGACCGCTTCTAAATTCTGATAAAACCGAGTCATTCTTGACCATGATATGTCCTTCAAGCACAATTACTGAACTTGCTTATACTTTCGAACACTCCACTGGTACTATATTGCAATCATAAGCGCCCTAATGCCCCTCCATAGACACATGTATGACTACTTCTTAACAATTCACAACATAAACTATAACATTACAAAACATCATCTAGAGTGATGTAAAAACAACTGAAGTTTATTACTTCTCAACTAACCTGTAATTTATTTTATTTTTTTTTCTTATTTTCAGGAACTAGCCACTAAAACCCAACCATCATGTAATCCAAAACCCGACACTACAGTGGTGGGTCTTATACCACCAGTGATGAGACAGCTTACAGGGAGGAGGTCAGCGCCCTGACCCACTGGTGTCAAGACAACCATCTCACCCTCAACGTCGCAAAGACAAAGGAGTTGATAGTGGACTTCCGGAGGTGCAGAGAAGTACACACCCCCATCACCATCAACGGCGCTGCTGTGGAGAGAGTGAGCAGCTTCCGGTTCCTTGGTGTACATCTGGCTGAGGATCTTACGTGGTCAGTACACACAAACAAAACAGTGAAGAAGGCGCAGCAGCGCCTCTTCTTTCTCAGGAGACTGAAAAGATTCGGCATGAGCCCCCGCATCCTCAGGACCTTCTATCACTGTGCCATTGAGAGCATCCTCACTGGATGCATCACCACCTGGTATGGCAACAGCACCGCCTACAACTGCAAAGCTCTCCAGCGAGTAGTGCGGTGCTCTGAACGGATAATTGGAGGTGAGCTTCCCTCCCTCCAAGACATCTACAGGAAGCGCTGCCTGAGGAAAGCGGGGAGGATCATCAAGGACTCCAGTCACCCCAGCCATAAACTGTTCAGACTCTTCCATCAGGAAGGAGGTTCTGCAGCATCCGGTCCCGTACCAGCAGACTGAGAGACAGCTTCTTCCACAGGCCATCAGACTGCTGAACACGTCATAGACACCTCAGCTTCACTACTGGAACTTCAACATTATGCACTCCACACTGTAAGTAATGCCACTGTTTTGCACATTCTCAACTCTGTATATTTTTATATATTTTATTTATTGTTTACTCTATTTAATTTGTAAAATATGTGCACACACACACACACACACACGTAGAAAAATATTTAGTATACACATCCAGAAATGCATATACTATTATATATTGTACATATATTTATTAGTTTCAGATGTAGCCATTCTTGTATTTTGCTTGTTTACATTATTGTATTTTGCACAACTCTGTTGCTTGTGAAGCTCGCACACAAGAATTTCACTCACATGTGCTGTACCAATGTACCTGCACATGTGATGTGACAATAAAAGTGATTTGATTTGATTTGAGAATCTGAAGCAACAGTACTGACCAGGACTAGAAGAGAGCACATTTTTCTTATATTGGCTTCTTTTCATTGGCTACCTGTTAAATCCAGATTTAAATTTAAAATCCTTCTCCTCACCAACAAGGCCTTGAATAATCAAGCCCCATCACATCTTAATGACCCCATCAGGTTGGCAAATTTGAATCTGCCGCTGCTTTTAAAATGTTCATCTCTGATGCACTGAGCCACAGATTCACATATTTACCACATAATTTTCCCATGTAGACCAGAAAAAAATGTAAATAAAAATCATTACTTAAAACAAAGTTATTCTGATGACCACAGTGAAAAATAACATTGTAGACATGAAATCATGCATACTGCTTAGAGTAATGTCAGGCTTAGACAACAGTGTCTCACTCTCCTCAGAGACTGTGGCATATATGCATGACTGTGGTATGTGTAACAATGAGTAACCACAACAACATGGGGATGCTCCGTGTCTGTCATCCTGAAACTCTCATAGTTCCCAATAAAAGCTCAGGTTATTTTTCCATGCAAATCAAATTGCACTTCAATGCTAAAACTTTGTATGCTGTATATTCACATAGAATATATTATGTTATCATAACACTGACATTTACCATTTACAAAGTCAATGACTCCACTCTAAAGGAAAAATTGTGTCTACTCTGCCACAGTGATATTTTAGAAGAAAAAATTAACACATTATTTGAGAGCATTTTGTGTAACTTTTATAAATAACGTATTAATTAATTTGCATTAGTAATTATTGTGTCATTCTGTATCTTGTAGAGGGCCTCATTCTCACTAGGTGAATGCATGAGCGCACTCTTTGCGGAAGAGTCCTACCATCCTTTTTGGCTGCTTGTTTGACCATCAGAATAACGATAGTGTGTGTGCCATGGGCAGCTACAATTTGAGCCAATAGTTTGACACACTGAGTAAATTTTCCATATCTCATCTCTTGGCTTTGAGTCAAGAGGGAGCATATTTTGGTCTACTACAGTTCTTTTTACTCATAAAACGAAACCCAACTCAATGTTCCAAGTACTTCCCATGCTCAGTCCCATCTATCCTGCTTTTGACTATCAAAAAGCTCATCAGGCTGAGCACACGCGCGAAGGTTTTCTGGCAATTCATGGGACACAATTCGAATTTAAATTCAAAATAGACATTTATTTTCTGAAATAACAGTCCCAACCAACAGTGTGAAAGTAGGGCCATCACAGGTTTGACATTTCTGATACAAGTTAAAATCTGCATATTCACAGAGCAGCCTATTAATTCTCCATTATGTGATTAGACTACATAAGATAAAATCGTGGATCAATGTTTGTTGACAGCAAATGGTGCATATATACAGCAATTACTCAAGTGGCTCATTTCCAGCATCAGTGACATTACCAGTTTTAGATTAATCATTGTAATACTGAGTAACTTCTACATTGATATATACACAACTATGCATGCAATTTGTCACCAATCGCAACATTAATTCAATGCTACATATTCCCACACTACACTGTGTCATCCATCACAAGGCAGGAAAGCATTCCACCGTGTCCCCTTTTCAAGAAGCATTTTCCTCTCACACTTCGCGTCACAGAGCCAACTCAGATTTAGTTGTACAGTAATATTAACAAGCATTCTTTAAGTCACATCGGTGACACTGTGTGGCTCTGCATTTGTTGCATGTAAGGAAATCATAGTAAGACAGCAACCATTTCATTTGGCCGATACCAGTGCAGTTTTATTTATTCTTCATTGTGTCCATTATCCATTTTTTTTTTTTTTTTAATTTGTGACACAGCAGCTAAAGACATAGTGATGTCATCAGCTAGTTATCTTATTTGCACAAGTTATTCAACAGGACCAATATGGAACATCCAGCTGATAATCTGGATAATATTGATATTCTTTTTCCTTTTAGACTATTTTCTTTTTGACTTTCTTAAAAAATTGAATTCAGACTGTTGGTCAGACAAAACAAGACATTTGAAGTTAAAATGTCAGACAGCAGTCATTACAGTCATCACAGCTGAAATTATCGAAAATATAAGTGAATACATTTGTTTCTTTTGATATATTTCAATAAGTATGTTGTGACCAGGCTGTTGGATGCATGTGTGGAATCCTATCCTATGTGCTCTCTGCACTCATCCCTTGCTCTCACAGCTATTCCTGACACTTGGAGTTCAATGGGAGGGGCAGGGTGGCAGTAGACTAGGAGATCACTGAAGTGGTCAGAAATATGGCATGGTGACCTTGTGTTACAGCAAACCAATTGGACAAGGCAGCTTCTCACTGAGTGAGCAAAGACCTAAAGGCAGTGACCTCTGAGAGCCACAGTCAAGAGGAAAAAAATGGCATGCTACTAATGCTCCCTGAGCGAGCAGTCAGAATCTGTCCAAGCTACCGATTTGCTTTAATAAACCAGCTATGAACAGAAAAGCTTTTCCCAGTCACCTGAAAGAGTTATAAAAGCCTTAAACCTATACTAACTAGCTGGTAATACCCTGTAGTCCTCTAGTCAAGCTATCCATATGAGTCATGCCAGTCATGACACACTAATAGCAACTCCACAGAACAGCACACCAGAGACAAAAATGGAGAGCAAATATGTAGCAAAGAAGATGTTCTCGTGTTACTTGTTTTGCAGAGGAACGAGTGTTACAAAATGTTTAAAGGGAAACTATCCAGCAGAATACCACATCACATCAGACCAGGACTGACACACTGCTTTGAGATATTGTTCAAAAGAAAGGAAACACTCCAGTGGTATACAGATGCTCGATTTAAAATAAAAAAATTTTTAAAAAAATGATGAGCTGCATTGTTAGTAAGAATTGTGTGAGTCCAGATGCAGACTTTCCTACTAACAGCAAAAAACAGTTCTCAGTGTTTGATCTGCTGTTTGCTTAACCAAAGACACTGAGACTTATGGTTTCCTGTAGACTTGTGAATTATAGGAAGGCTCGAGGAGTCAAGTCGTTTGAGTTAAAACATGCAGCGAGCTGGAGTCAGCTGGTGCCTTGTACCCCCAAATCTCGGTTTTCAGATAAGGTTCCACTCGGAGATGAGTGCAGACAGAGAGAGTTTTGTGTGGCTTGCACATTTCACAATCGCCACATTCCATCTGCATGCATACTTCTACACCTGTCTGTGCCTGCTGCCTTTTAGTTTCTCTCTGCTTTGAAGACACCTGTTTCTGTATACTCCATCCAACATGATATCCTCTGGCTGCCAGATTTGTTCCTCAGTTAAAACTAGTCAAAGGTATGTTCATGACAGCTGTTAAGTGCTGAGCGTCTGGCCTTGGACTCACCCGTGTTGTGTTGGGCTTGTTGCTGGGCCACAGTTTCGCTGCTAGCACTGTGTCCCATGCTATGGCTTCTGTCCCTCCTGGGCTGCCAGGCGCTGCCTCTCCTGAGGCCAGCGGCAGCAGAAGTAAGACTAAAGCCACCTCGCTCTCCTCCAAACAGACAGAGCTCCTGTAACTCAACACTGTCTTGACTGCTCACTTGCGTCGTTCAGTCTCTACAGTCTTTGCCCTCCCTTCAGCTTGTGTTATTTCTCTCTCACACCCTCCCTCCCTCCTTCTCTCTCACTTTAAAACACAAACACACTCACTCAGTTCTTTGGTCCCTCCCTTCTTGGAGCACTGACTTCATAAATAAGGTACACCAATAAGATAATCCAGCAGTCTGGAGTGCCTTTCATTCCTTAGAACTGATTTTTTGAGGGCAAAGTTCAAAGCAGGAGATCTCTGAAGCTTGGCCGGATCAGACATCAAGGATAGAGGGATTTCAAACGCAATGGGACCACCCACTTCTACCAATTTACAGAGTGACAAAACATTACTGCCTTAAGGGCAAGGGGGCGGGATCTGCAGGGTGAGGTAACTTGAGAAGTGGAAGGTGAGCTGAGCCAAGGTGGAGCTCAGTGGCAGAGCAGAGGAAATGGCACAGTGCAGGTGTCCAGTAACTCCCTGTGGATTGTCCGTTAAAGCAATGATGTGAAACTCCGCTTCACACCAATAGCTCCCTAGTGCAAATGTTTTTGTTTCAAATTAATCAAAGCTGGTTACAGGGAAAAAAACAACCCAATGTAGAGTTGCACTTGCTTCTTACTTAATATGCTACACCTCTTATTAAAATCCAGTAAATGCTGTCTAAGGACATTACTCTCACATCTGTCCTCATAAGTGCCAGATGGGGAAGCATGACTGAATTACACATTGTGTGAGAGTTAGTAGAGTTCCCTCTTTCAAGCCGACAGATAAACATTACAAAAAAAAGCATGTTCATTTTTTCTACTGTGACTCAGAAACAGTTTAGTTGGCAGAAGTCGTTCGAAGTCTACTCAAAGAACAGAGGAGTCTACTGTAACAACATGTTCATGATTTTAAAAACCCAAACATAATGTTAAAGGATTGCAAATAGGGAGATAAGAAAAGTTAAAACAGCACTGGAATAATAGCGTGCTACTTCCATTGTACTGTATATAGCAAGCTTAAACTTGAGGTTTTTCAAGAAATATTTAAAGTGAAGAGGAGCGAGAGAACAATCCGTATGTTTTAAGGACATAAAAACTCCAAAAGAAGCTGACTTCAAAATGTGGCCCACACGGTAGCGCCCTCTACAGTCAAAATGCAGCAACACAACTCTGACACAGGAATGCGTGGAATGCACAAACACAAGTGGGCTTATTGGTACAAGGACAGTAGTTAGCACAACAATCCTTGAAATCCTAACAAAACAAACAGGGTGATAACACCTTTGGCAATTACTGTAGAGTACTATCATGGTACTTAAATACTTCCCACTCTTTCAGAAGCACAGTGGCAGATGGAGACAAGCACTTTGGGTTTTCAAGCAGCTTGAAAATATTAACTCAATTACTCAAAAGAAAAACCCACACTGCTGTCACAATGACAACCCCAAAACACAAACATGTAGAATGATTCATCATGATGAAAGAGCTCTGCGGATCGAAACATAAAAACATGTGAGCCTGTCAGTTTCTCAATAGCATCACTTTTAGAGCAGACCTGAGGAGGAAGTGCAGTTTATTTTTACTGCTTGGCCACAGTGCCAGGCAGGGATGAGTAGATCGAGCTTCCTTAATCTTCTCCACCATGGCCCAGTTATCTGGGCCATACATACAGCTATGCTCTGCCCTATTGTGGCACTTCAATGAATTAAAGTAATATGAGATTACTTCTTAGAATATGGCCACAAATGTTCTAAAACTTAAACACAAGATATACTGAAAGTACAGAAAACACATTCTTGTTTGAAGGAAGGTAAACAGCGTTTACCATCAACGTGATAGACAAAAAAAGTTTACTCACAACTATATTCAGACTGCACAGCCATCCCAGCTATGTTTTCACAGATGAATAACGATTCAGTCTAGAACAAAAGATCCTCAGGGCTAAATGAATGGGATGGTGATACTAAGACGTCTACAGGGTGAAACGATCAGTAGTGAAAATAGACACGAGGCCACACTGCAGTGAGTGAAACCAGCAGCTCGACTCACCTACGGGTGTGTCTTCTGGGTATGAGCCAATCAGATAGCTGTACTGATAAATGGAGCTATGCGTCACAAGGACAGTCCCTATATGGGCATCCTCATATTATCAGATGGCATTTCTGTTAAACTACAGAAGCTTCTCTTTGTGTTTGTTGTAAACCTTTTCCACACAAATTAATCTAGTCAAACAAATAAAATATTTAATCGTAACATAAAATTTGGTTTTCTTACCATGATTTTCCATCACTGTGCAAACTCAGCAGTCAGCAGCTCCTGAAACAAGTATTAAGCATTTAATATTCATTTTAAACAAGTATAACAGATTTATTTGTTATAAGATGTTCCAGTTACTTCTTTCACAAACATTAAAAATATGTTAGACTTTATAACTTTTATTTCTTGTTTAAAATGTTTTAAGAGATTTAGAAAAAAACTAAAACGAAACAATATCCTATTTGTTGAAATATCAATCCCCAAAACAAAAACAAATAAAACCATTGTTTAGGGGGGGGGGGGGGGGAAACAGACAAACAAAAAAACCCAAAAAAAAACAAAAAAAAAACAAAACACCAAGGTGAGAGCAGTCAGTGAAACCGCCACATGTTTGCTCGTATAGATTAGATCAGGGGTAGGCAACTCCAGGCCTCAAGTGCCGGTGTCCTGCAGGTTTTAGACATCACCCTGTGTCAACACACCTGAATCAAATCATTAGTTAATTCCCAGGCCTCTGGAGAACTTCAAGATATGTTGAGGAGGTAATTTAGCCATTTGAGTCGGCTGTGTTGTGATCAAGGACACATCTAAAACCTGCAGGACACCGGCACTCGAGGGCTGGAGTTGCCTACCCCTGGATTAGATGTTCTCTGCAGCTAATGGGGAGAACACTGAAGCTAAACAAAAGCTCTCCTTTTAGCCAAGACAACATAGGGCATTAATTAACTCAAACACTGACTTCAGATCAATTCTAAAAGCCTAAAAGGCACAAAAAAAGTCACCATTAAGAGAGTATCAGGCAGTTGTAGTGTTGCAGAGAAAGGGAGTGCACACTCTCCCAGGAACTAAGGCACAAATATAAAAAATTAAAATGCTCACTAAATAGTCTTTGGCATAAAATGCTTTTCTTTCTCTGTTGCTGAGAAGTTATCTGGAATTCTTTACTTCACATAAGCACTTTGAGATAACCAAGCAAAAACTGTTACTGTGTGACAGAGTGAGACACTGAGTTCATAATCTCAAGTATAATTTAAGAAGGCATTCTGGGGGCAGTTTTCAAAATGCAATGCAACTGATGCCATATAACTTCAAAGTTTTACATGTAAAACAAAGGGTGTAATAACAACAATCACTAACATTTTCAATCATGAGGACCACCTGAGACAATCCAACCATAAAGCTGAAAGCATACAAGCATTTATAAATCGTTCTGTTTAAGAGGAAGCTGATGAAGTGCCAACTAAAAGTTACATAAGGTATAAGATTACTGCAATAACACTTGAGCTGTGAGTATAGTCTGAAAAACTAATGACATCATTGCAGACATCACTACAGCATACTGCCATAATAGGAGCAAATGTATACAGCCTGACCAATGTGAGATTTGTAAGACCGATCATAATACTGATACTTTGTGATTTAAAAATGGTATATTCTGATATCTCATGCCATGTTTTTTGGTCATTTTTTTTTAAAAAAAACGTCATACAAAATACAAACAGGTGTCCCAACATTTGTTGTCATTTCTTTACATTCTACCAAAGTCTGTTCATTTGTGGTCCCAGCAAGCTATTTATTTTTCTACACCGTCCAACTGCAATTCCAAACAATAAAATGCACTCATGCTCCTTATTTATCCCTAAAGGCAGATATGAAATTCCTACAGAAATACAACAGCAGCTAAACACAGTAATCAACTCACAAAAAACTAAATAGCTTAATAAAAGTGGCAAGCTGAACTACTCCAGCCTGAAAGACCTTAATGAAATACAACAACTACAATTCTGTAAAAGAAAGCAGCTGAATAAGTTCTTAAAAATAAATATATTTTAAATGTAAATAAAGTTTAAAAAGCTGAATATATTTTTAATGCTCTCTAAAGTATAATAGCTACAAAATAAATCAGAATAAAAATAGCTTGCTAAATGTAGCCGAAAGCTAAATGTGTAGTTAATCCGTATCAGTGTTTGTTCTGACAGCAAATTTTGATTTTGTTTTAGTGGCAGTCTTTTGACTAAAACGTCATTTTGTGTTAGTCCTATTTTAGGCATTGTAACCCTTTTAGATTGAGCCCCGTTTTAATTTGGCTAAAAATCATAACATTATCACAGTTGAGTAAAATATAAAGTGTTTGTCGTGTTTTTACCGGTAAAAGTTGTGCCACATGGCTTATAAAGTGTCTTATTTTCCTTGATATCAAATGTGAATGTGTCCATATGTCCACTCTTCTCTTCCTGTTTTCTTATGAAGACAGAGAGCATGGGAGCTTCTCCCCCCTCCCATCCTGTTTTTGTCACAGACACGTCAAATTGCAAGCCTAACCTTGCTGCACAAGGAGGTTAATTCTGATTGGCTCACTTCCAAACCTGGCCCGCCTCTCTACACAACTTAAATCCAATTGGAGCTTGTTTCACTAGAACATTTTCCTCTTGAATTTATTTAGTCATCATCTTGCTTTCTTCAGAAAAGAAAGGGATGTTGACGAAAACTATGCCTATATACAGACCTATATACAGTTCACTTGTTAATAAGCTGGCCTGTCGGGTGAAGCATGTTAAGCCAATATGCATTTTCACAAAAGTCTTCCGGAGGTTTATTTAAACCCTGTATGAGTTACCACAAAAATGTATCTGTGCAAAAAATGTGAACAAGCTCTACTTAAATCTCATTAACACCAAACTATCAAACAGCCGACTAAATATTATAGGATTATTGTTCAGACTCACACTGAACATTAAGTCTTAAAAAAATATATATATATATATATCTTCTGTTTTTTTGACATTTCTCATTAATGTTCAAACATGGCTGACACATCATAATTCAAAATCAAAAAGTAATTAAACTGCTTTCAAGGGACTAATGGCAACATCGTCGTCCCCAGGCTAGCAAATCACTGTTCTTAATGTCATGTTGCTTTAAGACCAAGCAGCTGGGTGGATTGGTGACTGATCATAGTTAAGTTCCAGATGACAAGGTCAAACAAGCAGCTGACATTGACAAACTGACAGTGTGTGTTTTCTCTCCCAGGGAGCATCACAGGAGCTATTCACAGCATTGCTCCGCTTGCCAGTTGGTCAGAAACAGTGGGTGCGGCTACATGGTGACATCAACAGAGGTGGGTCCTAACAGCAGTATCATGCTGCACTTTGGAATGTCAAAAGTCTCCTGCGAACAAACTGGTATAACCCCGCCCGTGTGACTGAACAATGTGTACATTACAAAATAAAAGAGTGAGTGTAGGTAGGCGAGAATTAGACTTTTTCTTTACTTTTCTTTTGATGAAGCACAGGATGTTCTATGTGAATTCAGCTGCAGTCATGATGAAGAAAATGCACAATAAGCCAATAATTGTTATCTGTATGAGATTTGTATTTTAAAATGCCATTATGAGTCAACTTACTTTGACTGAAGGTCATTGATTATCAATAAAATGCTCCCCCAGAAACAGCGACCTTGAAGTTTTTCCTTTTCTGACTTCTGGTTCCAATGGGGAAAACGTCAGCAGCTAAAATGATCCTGTCAAGTATACAAACATTCAGGAACATAAGGCAAGACACAAAAAGTGAACTTCCTTGTAGATGAGCTGCTTTGAAAACCTGCTGAGTAAGCAGTTTATGAGATAGTTTTAGTTTGTGCCATTTCCTTGGACTGTAGCAGAGATCCCCCCCCAAACACCACTGATGAAAAAAGGAAAACAAGTTGCTCATTTACGATAAAACATTCATTACCTCACACTGAAACAAGAGCACCAACTCCGCTTTTGAACTTTGAGTTTGAGTTCAGCAACTGTCCAACCCCTCTGCCTCAACCATTTTGGTTCAGTCCAACTGGTTTGACAAGTCTTGGCCTACATGCTCAACAGCTGTAGCTGCGCTGTACTTCACTTCAGCTATTCCACTTCTCTTAAGCATATGTTTACTTAAACATGTAACTCCTAGGTATTCCCCAAAATGCCAAACATCCGCAACAGTGCACTAACTCAAAACACTGACATCCACTATATAAATAGATGCACACTGTTAATAGTAAGAATGCGTGCAAATGGCATGTAAAAATAGGTCCTGCTTGCCTAATGATAATATTTTTATTACTACTAATAAATCTGTTCAATCTGACCCAATACCGATGCATAGTTTTATTACTTTCTTCCTGATAAGCCTTTATCTATTTATTATTGCTTATTTCCAACTGATGGGTAAAGAAAGAAACTGATACACAGTTACACTCACAAATAATTCACTAGATCAAGTTCAGCACCATTGCAACCCAATTCTGCTCTCAAATATCCTCCGAGCACTGGTGCCGGCTGGCAGCACAGCAAACAGAGGTGAGTTAATGTGCACCAGTTTTTGTGCATGTACAAGAGTGTGAAAACCAGAACAGCTGAGCCAGTGGACTGAGGCCTTGGGACACCACGTGAACATGTGCAAACACACGCACACAATCCTGTCACTGCTTTACAGAACAACCAAAGGTTGAATAGGTGATAGCCCAGCCTCTGATTTACCTTGGTTTTCAGTTAGTGCTTCCATGTTAGCTCTGTGACTTAAACCCACATCACACAACTTAAACAGCAGCTAGATTTTCAGGT